CATTCATGTTTTGATTCTTCTTTGTCATGCCCTTTGCTTGCCAGAACCGAGGCTCTCGATACCAATTTGTGATGAACGAGATAATGAAGAAGAGAAAAGAAAGAGATTTCAGAGGAGAAGCAGAAAGGGTTTAAGAAATTCAGAATTCATTTCAAGAAATGATGCATAATCCTTCCTTTTCCAGGTACAATAATTTTATACCGTGTACTACCAAATCTAATAAGCCAGCTGGCTTAGATTCTAACTAATTCTGTTACTGCATATTATCTTAGGCTTGGTGGACTTCTCTGTTGGGCTCAAGGCTGCTGGGTCTTCAAATATTAATGGGTTTAATGACCCGTGCTCCTCACGTGACCTTTACTATCATCAGGTAACAATCCCAATTCCTTCAGCAATCCCTAACCCTCGTTTATCATTTTCCCCAATTCTCTCTTCACCTCCCCGAACGTCCTCTCCTCCTTCCTCATCTCCTTCTCCAACCATGACAGATTAGTTGCAGGAACTAGCAATAAAAGCCTCTTGTTTGTTTGTCCAATATGTTTAATGGTTTCTTCAAATGCCTTTTAGTTGTACCCCATGGCTGGTCTGATGGAATTTTATGACATAGGAATTTGATTATTGATTGCAACCTACCCTTCTATGCTATGTCTACATTAATTTGCTACGAGGCTTGGTTGTTTTTTTTGCTCAATTGTACCTTTCTTCTATAAACTATCTATTTCAATGTTTTCCATCCTCCAAAATTTTTTGTTTTTCTCATGTGTGTAATGATCCTTTTTTTAGCATCTTTAGATTCCACAGCTCAAACAGGGCTTGCTAACGGTGGTGATTTGCAAGAAGAGGTATATCAGAAGGTAAAAGCTCTTGACTATTCTCCTATAGATAATATTGTACTTACAAGTTGGCTTTAATTAGGTTTTATCTGCAGGAAATTGGTTATAAAAAGGAATATTACAGTATATTGGGATGTGTCTGTTAACAGGAAATTAAAAAAGAAGAATTAGCAACTTAAAATAAATTTTGTTAAAAGAAATTTAGGCATTTTATTAGTTTGTTATCAATAAGAAAATAAATGCATATTGTTCACTGCTCTACGAAAGATCTATTTAATTTTTGAACAGGGAAACATGACCAAGGATATCCTCTGCATGCTTGACTTCATATTAAGCCTTTATTGCTTCCTTTGTTTCTTCTGTAATTTTAACGAAAATCACTGCCTGCTAGTCAGAAAACGGAAAAATCGTTTTGCTTTTTGTATGAACAATGAAACTTGGATAAATTGATTGGTTTAATTGTTGGTTAACCAGTCTGCCTGAATTAACGTTACAGATCCAGACATTGAAGGAGACATACTTGCCTGAATTAAATGAGATGTACCAGAAAATTGCTACCAAGTTGCAGCAGGTAGGTTTATTCATTGCATAATCTTCTTATATATGCATTCTTTAACATCTCAAGAGTGATAGAGCCCTTCTGCACCATACTCTGCTGCTGTATCTATTAACAAAATTGAGAGAACCTGTTACTACTCTACGTTAAAGCTTTTGATCCCACCCCCACTTTTGTGTTGCTCCTTGAATCCTATTCCTTTAGACAGTGTTTAGTGGTCTCACTTATGCTTATCTGGTGGAATAGTGGTTTGCAATTTTACTTGGGTTGCTTAAAACAATTTTGTGTCCTATTGTCCAGCATGATTCTAATCCACAGCAGCCAAAGTCTGAGCAGCTTGACAAGTTGAAACTATTCAAGGCCATGTTGGAGCGCATTTTAGCTTTCTTATCTGTTCCCAAAGCGAGTATAACAGCCCCTTTCAAGGAGAAGTTGAGTTTGTATGAGAAGCAGATAATAAATTTTGTGAATTCCAATAGGCCAAGGAAGCCTGTCTCGATGCTGCAGCAAGGACAGTTTCCTCCACCTCATATGCATTCCATGCAACAAGCACAAACACAAATGAATCAGACACAGTCTCATGATAATCAAATGTCAGTTGCAGTCGATAAATTTACAAGGTTCTGTGCCAGCAATGCAGCCTAACAACATGACAAGCATGCAGCATAATTCTTTGTCACCTGGGGTTTCGACAGCACAGCAGACCAAGTTAAATTCATTACAGCCAGGTTCCAATATGGATTCAGGACAAGGTAATACCCTTGTCTCAATGCAGCAGGTTGCTTCAGGACCATTACAACAGAATCCTGTGAGTACTTTCCAGCAGGCAAATTTTAACAGCTTGTCATCACAAAGTGGGGCAGGTGTCTTGCCGCAAAACATTTATCCTCTTCGGTCAAGTTCCAGCATGCTTCAGCACCAGCATATGAAACAACATCAAGAACAGCAAATGCTACAGTCACAAATGTACAAGCAACAGTTTCAACAACGCCAAATGCAGCACCAATATATACAACAGAAGCAGCAGCTACTGCAACAACAACAGCAGCAAGCAAAGCAACAACTGTCCACTCAAATGCAGACACACCGGATGCCCCAGCTGCATCAGATGAGTGATGCGAATGATATGAGGCAGGGGATGGGTTCTAAGTCGGGGGTATTCCAACATCTTCCGTCTGGCCAGCAGCAATCTTATACCCATCAGCAGTTGAAACCAGGTGCTCAATTTCCCGTTTCTTCACCGCAGCTACTTCAGGCTGCATCTCCTCAGATGCCTCAGCATTCTTCCCCACAGGTTGATCAACAAAACCTGCTAACATCCATCTCAAAATCTGGAACTCCCTTGCAATCTGCAAGTTCACCTTTTGTTGTTCCTTCACCTTCAACTCCGTTGGCTCCATCACATATGCCTGGGGAATCCGAAAAACCAGTTCAGGGAACTTCTCTCACAAATGTTGCTACTATCGGAAATCAACAAGGAACCTATGTTCAAGCAGGCTCCCAATCCCTTGCAATCGGCACTCCAGGCATATCAGCCTCACCTCTGCTTGCTGAGTTTACTGGTGCAGATGGAACTCATGCTAATGCTTTGACAGCTAGACTTTAAATAAATTATTAATTTAATCATTGATTTTTAAATAAAATATAAATTAATCTCCGATATAAAGTTCTCATTATTGAATGACGTTTATCACTACTTCAGTCACTATCGGTCACCATCAACTGTCATCATTAATGATCATCAGAGCTAGAGGGAATTCCCCCTCCCGAGCGAAGAATGAAAAACTTAGCGAACTCACAGGTATTTGAATCAGACAACAAGGTTTTATTTAAAATATAAATATTATTATTTGTTTACTTTTCTAATAAAATATTTTGAAAGGGACCATTTTAAAAATCAAAATGGACAAATTTAATAGGATGAAAGAGAGTATTATGGATTATTTTATGTTGAATAATAAAAACAAGTCCATTTCTATTTTAGTTGAATAAAATATTTTTTTAGATTGAATTAATTTCACATATGTATTTTAATATTTTTATCAAGTATTTATAACTTTATATACAAAATTATACAACTAACCACTATCTAACAGCTGCTAACTAAAATAACTAACTACTTTACACAATTAGCAAAGGTGTTTCCTTACTAAGCTGAAGCAACAATGTGGTGGACAGTTCACCTCAAAGGTAGAGCGGTCACGGATAATACATTGGCAAGGGAAAACCGGGCTACCTTTGAGCACTATCTTGACATGGGTCAAATTGGATTTTCAATCAATTCGGTCTAACCCAAAAATTATAACCCTCCACTTGACCCGACTTAAAAATATACATTTTCACTTGACCAGAATCTGAACCGATTTTTTGAGATTAAATCTGAACCCGACCTGATCCAAAATAATATATTTATTTAAAAATATTATTTTTATTCAATAAAAATAGGGATTTAATTGAAAAAATAATATATAGAGAGGGTATTATTACAAGAGAAAATAACTTTAGTGACCGAAAATGCCTTATAATATACGATTTTAACCAACTTTTTTTGGATTTGCGAAAATAACCAACAAATTCGCAACGCAAACTCTAATTTCGCAACACAGTTTTCAAATTCGCAACTTGAATTTCTTTTCCGCAACGCGATTTTCCAAATTCGCAACTCGATTTCTAAATTCGCAACTCGATTTCTAAATTCGCAACGAGATTTTTTTCAACACGATTTTTAAACTCGTATTCTTTTTCTTTTGGTTTTCTATGCAGTTTGCTTGATTCCGGCCGATTTTTTTTATTTGCAGGAAGAGAAACAGAAAGCAGTGGAGGGGAAGGAAGTGGAAGAGAAACAAGTTGAAGAAGGAAAGAAAGTGGAGGAGGAAAAGAAAGGCGAAGAACCCCAGCTATGAAATTCGCAACTCGAATTTACGAAAACTAAAGCTATGTTGCGAAACCAAAGCTGTGTGGAGGAGGAAAAGAAAGGCGAAGAACCCCAGCTGTGAAATTCGGAACTCGAATTTGCGAAACCAAAGCTGTGTTGCGAAATCAAAGCTGTGTGGAGGAGGAAAAGTTGGTTAAATTCGTGTAAACTTATAATTAAGAACATATTTATCATAATTTCATCCCAACCCACGTTGCGAATTGCGAACCGTGTTGCGAAATAAAATGGGATGGAATAAGATGACTTTCTAGATTCTGTAAACGAATTTCGTTAAAACCCAATCCCCACTCCCTCTCAAAGAACCCAAATCCCTCTCCATGTTTACAAACACCCAGCAGCCATCCATATTAAGTAATCTCTTATTACTCGATGTTCACTTTATTGTATTAATTAGATGAGACTTTCCGAGAAAAGTTTTTCTAGAGCTACTTTCGTGGGAAACAAACAGAGGCTTTGGTTTTTACTAAGTGTGTCCTTCAACTCGGTCTGAATTGATATCCCCCGAAAAAAAGGAAACAAAGTCATAGATTTTGGGGGTTTTAATTCTTAGTGAAATTGAGAAGGAAGAAATGGAATCAGATCTTCAACACTACCATCACCATATGGATTATCTTCAACCTCGACACAATCAAAGACAGATGAACTATGGGTTGACGAGGTACCAATCTGCACCCAGTTCGTTATTTTTCAACATCTTAGACAGGGATTTCTGCCAAGAGATTCTGAATCGACCAACGATCCCGAAAAGAATCATCTCGAGGTTTTTTGTCTACCGGTGACGATGCTGCTAGCGGCGGTGGTGATGATAATACAGAGAAGATTCCAGAGCAGAATCTTTGCACCGCAACGCAGACTTCACCTGTAAAAGAAACAGTGAAAGTCGAGGAGCAAACGCAGATTATGACGCCAATGGATAATCAAACGCGTTGCAATTTTTAAATTCGCGTTGCGATTTTTAAAATTGAGTTACGAATCTGGAAAATTCGCGTTGCGAATTTAAAAACTGTGTTACGAAATTGGAGTTCGCGTTGCGAATTTGTTGGTCATTTTCACAAATCCAAAAAAAGTTGGTTAAAATAGTATATTTTAAGACATTTTCGGTCATTTAAGTTATTTTCTCTTATTATAATTATCCCTAAATATACGAGGTAAAATTATATTTTGGCTCGGGTCGGCTTGGGTATTTTTTACCCTAAACTCGAACCTGACTCGAACATAACCTCTAAAAAATCTGACCGACCAAACCCGATCCCGATATTTAAAAAAAATCGACCTGATTAAGTTGAATCGGGTCACAACCCATTAGTCCAGTAATAAACCATTCGACCTCAATCTCTCTACTGAGATGGTCAAGTGTGGGGAAGTTTTCAAAGGATTTTACGAAACGAAAACAAAACACAAAAAGTTTACATGGATATACTCACCGATGTCGGTGGTAAGTTCGATCGGAAAACTATTAAACTGGTTGTTTCAACTTACCCAAAGGCCAGGTCATTTCTAAAATGAGGCCTTTTATTATTTTGCTAAAGTCTATCGAACAAACTTTCAGGCTTAAACAAGTAACTCAACTCCAGTTCTAAGACAAGTTTCAAGCCTAGAAAATGGAACATGAAAGTTCCAAATATATTACATGAGAAAAGTCTAATGCAACTATAATCAATAATTCCAGACCTTGAAATTTAGGAAGCAATACGAAACGACAAAACGAAAACAACACATTTAATAAACGCCAACACAATTTGACAAACATGACAAGACAAGTTTAAATCTGATTAACATGATTCATGTAATACACATTTTGTATTCACGTTTAAGATTTAGAAATATAATCCATGTTATGTTTATGTTGACATGGGGAAAAAAACATGAAACACTACACACAACAGATTGTCGGGTCTAATACTTGACAGATAAACCTATAATCTGCACACCGTTTTAGATTATAAAGCCAGAATCATATACCTCATCCCTGCATAAGCCAGATTTCAAATTACAACAAGTTTATAATATCTTAGAAGTTCTCATCATTGCTCTCAAGATAGAGCCCCCTCAATTGTATGTAAGGAGTTGTTTAATGGGTTTTGTAACAAATGCAGAACCATCTCCTCCGTGTGATTCAAGCATAACACATAGATTGGGCACTCTTTTCCCCTTCCATTGTCTTGATTGAGCTTTGTCTCAATCGAGTTACAAGAGCCTTTTTAACAAGGCCTCATTTACCTTTAAAAAAAGGCATAACACATCGATGACCTTATTTTAATTGATTAGAAATAAGAGAATAGTTCAATCTTTTCTTTATTTTATTCCAATTTTTCATTGTTATATGCTTAGTTTTAAAAGGTGCAAGGCGCACCGAGGCACAAAATGCCCCTAGAGCATAGGCACGGGGCACGGGCGCGCCTTTCGTAGGCGGGGTACATTTTTATACTAAAAACCCATAAATTAATTATACAACATATTTTTAATAATAAAAATAAAATTTAATAAATATAGATAAAATTTTAAGAACATAAATTAAAATAAATCATTTTAAAAGAATGGCTAATTGAGAAAATAATTTGAGATCATATATTAATTTTTTTTTTGAAAAGGAAAAAGCCAGTCTAGTATTTATTGAACTTTAAAAAGAAAACAATTACATGTTGTCCATGTGCAGTGCACTAATGGACAGCAATCAAAGTTTCAATAAAAAGTTTAGGAACCAAAGCAGCAATCAAAGCTTCAAAAAAGAGTTTAGGGAACCAAAGCAAGAATAAATAAATAAATAACCTCAAAATAGCCCAATAAATAAGCAAGTCCAAAGCTAGAGAATAGCTAATCTTTCTTTCTTCCCTGCTCAAAAACTAAAGCTTTTTATCAGAGAATACCATTTTTATCAGAAATTTTCTATCAATTTCTCTCCCCCACATAGGCGCAAGAAGCGTAGCGCATGCGTTTGCATAAAAAAACGGAAAAAGCGTGCGCCTGTGCCGTCGGAGGCGATTTTTCTGATGCCCAGCTGCGTCCGGCGCGCTTTTGAAAACTAAGGTTATATGACAATATCATTACAAAAAATTGTTGGAAATCGAGGCAAGAATAACACAACGAAAATTTTAAATAATCTTGATAATCCTAGGATCTTATGCATATCATACTAATTACGATAAAATAAAGTCGTGAGATTACAATAATCTATGGTTTGAAAATCCTTTCGTGTTGTCTCTGATTTTCTTTCGATCTTTAAAGGTGTTGCCTTTCTGAAAGACGACCACCCTCTATACGTACACGCGAATGAATCAAAAATGATTTTCATTCTTATCCATTCTTAGTGTGCGACCATATATATTCAATTAACGTTGGCAGTAGATAAAATCTCATTTTATCCTACAAGTCATAAGTGGCCTCTAGCAAGACATTATGACTACCCAAGTTAAATGAAAAGCTCATGATCCGAGACAACCTTAATGCGGTTTATGGCATAATCATTTTATCTTACGATATCTTGATAGAATATAAGACATGAAAAATATCAACTTTATATCACTCTAACTTTAGTTTCTCGATACTTAATTAAATTGACTAAACAAATAAAATTGATCTCTATCAACTCATTTGAATACGACCGTGCATTTCTCGATCTAAGTCATTGAGGGGCCCTAAGATATCTCTCTTATGATAAGAGGGATAAATTCATCTTAATCACTAACATCTCACTATATGATTCATGTCATGTTCAAGCATAAACTTTATAATTGTACGATTAAAGACAATGTTTGATTATGTCAAAACATAACAATCATCATGTTGAGAACTGTTGCTTTGAAGTGCTTTGAAGTGGATTAAAAATCTAGAAGCAAATCCTATTGCTTTTGTTCATCTGGTTAAGGAAATTTCCAAGCGCGTGCTGGATTATAATGTGACTATTAGCCATATTCAGAGATGTTTTAATTGAGAAGCAGATAGTTTAGCTAAGTCGGGCATAGGGTAATGTGGGGTGTTATGGTTGGGTGTGGTGGTTGAGTGTTTTGTGGGGAAGGTTTGTACTTAAAATGGTTTTACCCTGGATGTACTCTATATTTTAGTAATAAAATTGTGGGTACTCATTTCCTCTTTCCAATGTCAGTTGAGATACCTATGTAGTTTGACGGTTATGAAGGGATTTTTAACGAGGTCATTTTCTTATAAAAAAAATCATGTTGAGAATTGTAGTAACTTCAGGTGTAAAGATTTAATGACATAACTGTTTGAAATTAATATATAACTTTAATCCATGTATTAATCTCAAAACGAGTCAATCCAATATTTGTTCTCAACAAATACATATGAATATGGTTTAAATTTCATTTACATATTCATCTTATAAATATCTATCAAATTTCATACCAATCTTATTTTACTACTGTTCCCATAATAATAACCGATTAGGGATATTTAGAAAAAGGAAAAAGAATAACTTTTGTCCCTGTAGTAGACCCAATTTATCATTTTTGTCCCCATCGTATTTTCGTATCAATTTAGCCCTTGAAGTTGCTCACTTGCATTATTCTATACCCTACCCTCACTTAAAAACCTAAATTGAGGTTTTAAGTTAGAGATTAATGTTTAAAGGTTATGAGATTATAGTTTAGGGTTTTAAGTTAGGGTAGGTATAGAATGATGTAATTAAACAACTTTGAGGGCTAAATTGATGCGAAAATATGATAGAGGCGAAAATGATAAATTAGGTCTACTACATGGGCAAAAGTGATCCTTATGTCTTAGAATAATTAACAATATTATTCAAAGATATTAATAATAAAATTGCATGCAAATGATGATAATAAAAACAATAATCAAAATATCATGTTCATACAATATACCTAGGGCATTAATGCTAACACAAACCTCTAAAACATTAGCTTTGTCGACAGAACAGAGTTGTCCACGCTGCTTCCGAGCAATCTCAAATGTAACACGAGTAATTCGATCAATCTGGCATCCATTTGTTTGAAAATTTAATTTTCAATAATTAAAAAGTGCACACATGAAAAAGAAAGCCATACGTAGAAATTTGAATAAAGAGACAAAACCACTTCACAAGTCGAACATAAGATATGATTTGCAGAGTGTGTTGTCAAGGTGAACACCTAGGTGCTATGGCACAACACTACACAACAAAAGCACATCAGGCAGTTTCAGGTAAACCACATGCCTAGTGAACTTAAGCGCGCTTTCTTGTAATGCAACTGGCACAAAAAAAACCTACCAAATTGAATTTGTCTTTCATTTCTTTTATATTTTTTATTAATAGTACCTTCATTCTAAACAAAAGTATAATATCAAAATCTCTACTTAATCAATGGTCAAGTATTTAACAACAAACTAGGGATCATAAGGAATTGTCCATATTGGTCAAAAAAGGAATAATTTTTTTTGCATGTTTTGTAGGATGTAAGCCATGCAAATTTTGGGTATTCTCAGCTAAAAACATGCCTAGTTACAAATTTTGAATTCTTTTATATATACATGTTTCATCAAACCATTGGATTAAGCAGATATTTGAATCCAAGCCAGATATCCATAAGAAAAATAAAAAAAGGAAATAAAAAAGAGAGACATTAGAGAATTCTAAATGTAAAGTGAAAAAAAATACCTCATAAGTAGCATACACCTCAACATATGTTGAAGTCAATCTCCTCACCATTTTCATTAGTACCAAATCCCCTTGGTTTTCCAAAATAAATACCTGATCCCGGTATAAGATCATCAATGATACTAACACAGAAAATTGGTAGGGCAACAGCAGAATCAGAGAAAATCAACTGAATTTTATTATTTTTTGGTGGTACTGACCTCCAGTAAGCTCCCTCACAACCATAAGGTCAACACCCTCAGCAACATCTTTCTTCAGAGTTGAGGAGTCCACTAACTGAAATAGAAAATAAATAGAGAGATTTTCATGAACCACATATTTCTCATAAAAGAAACAAGCTACACCTGCTTCCACGGTTCTAGATTGCATGAATGCATGCATGCAAAATAATGCAGACTGAGTTTTCTTTCTTGGAAATAAGCAGTTCATTCTGGCAGTGTCTAAAAGTGCATAGTGAACAATTGTGACGGCCTTAGTTTTCAAAAGCACGCCAGGCGCAGAAGAGAATGTCTCTGGAGGTACAAGCACAACGCACAATGGCAGACTCTCTCAAGTATGCGCTTATGGGGCATTTCTGCATAGGCGTCAAGCGGGCGTTTCTGCCACCTTAAGGGAGAATTCTAATATAAAATGAATTATAAATTATTTTAATAAAAAGAAACTTGTTATTTTAGTATAAAAAACAAAGCCACGCCTCTTCCCCTACCCACGCCACTCTTACCCTCCCGATATTTATTTCAAGAGAGAAAAAACCCCTACAACGCTACCATCGGAGCATTTCAAGGCCATAGTCGCACCTACCAGATACGCCTTTCTCTTCTCTCTTTTTTATTTTATTTTATTTATGTTTGATCTCTTCATCTTCTCCAAGACTCCAACAATTCAGTCTTTTTAGTCTTCTCCCGATATTCTTTGACTTGTTGAATTTTGGACTCTGAGTTTTATTTTTCAAGTGATTTATAAGTTGGGTTTTATAAGTTGAGCTACCAAGAAGTGACGAAGCCATATCATCAACAATTGGTTGTGGGGAGTTTTCTGAGTTTTGAAGTAAGCGTAGTTTGTTTAGTAAACTTTGGTGATTGGATTAAGAGTTGGGGGTTGGAATTTTCAAATTAATTATCACAAGATTGATCGAGTTATTGTTTTTGGATGAATCATGTGAAGCTTTCATTAGAGGAATTATCTTTTTTTGATGAGACTAGGGGTGCTTAATGAGTTGAGCAATTCATGAACTGTTTGAACTCGATTCGGTCAACGCTCGACTCAGATTAACTCACTCAAGACCTTAACAAGTTGAGTCGAACAAGGTCCAACTCGACTAGATAAATTTATGAGCAATTCGTTAATTTTTTTATAATTTTAGTAATTACCTTAAAAAATTATTCCATTCTAAAAGAGAATGTCTAAATAATAATTACTAATTTGCTAATAGATAATAAGAAATATGTTAAATTACTAATTAATAATTACTACTAATTTATTAATCTACTAATTTTCTAATAAACAAGAAAAATTCTAAATTATTAATAATTATTAATTAGCTTAATGAATAATGAGTCGAATCGAACAACAAGTTTTTTAACAAGCACGAGTCGAACATTGTCCAACTCGCGATCAACTAACTCGATAAACATTCCTCGATGAGACTGCTTGTTTGTCTATGTGAATTTATAGGTTTTCTTACT